AGTGAGATGAAACTCAGCCTCCAGAGCATGAGCCCCAGCTCTGTGGTTTGCTCTCCCTGTAGTTTGAGGGGAGAAGTGGAAGAATGTGTTTCTGGTAACAGGATACTGTTTAAAAACTGCTGCTTGTTTGAAGACCGTTCTGCGTTGCTACTGACGGGAAAATGACCTATTAACATTTCCGGTACAAAGCCAGCCCTCGAGGAACCGACGCTCTATTAGGGAGAAAAATTCCACTGGAAATACTTGTAAAAAGAATGCTCTGTGACACTCTGAAATGTCCTTTTGGGCAGTGACTTCTCTTCACTCTGAATTCCACAAAATACTATATTTTGGGGTCTGAATGCTCCATCTGAGTTCACCCATCCTTTCCCAATAGTCAAAACGATTTATTTTGTAAGAGATTTTGTTTTGTCATCCAGATATATTTCCTCCTATTTTTAGTAACGATTTAATTATGAGACATATTTGTATGTAAGCGTGTTCTCTACATTCATTCTTGTCCTAAAAATGCGATGAAAATGAATTAAAAAAACCCAAATTGCATAGACTTTTCCTACAATCACAGACTGCTCGGGCACATACAGTTGGTGAGCTTTAACACACGTGACAAAGCCAAGCAGTCACCCCTGCAGACAGCACGCGGAGCAGCAGCAGTTCCGTGGCCCCCAAAGCTCCTTCACGCTGCTGCCCCTCCGCGATCACACTCGTCCACCCGAACCCTAGGCGTAGTGCCGATTTTCTTCCCGTCCCTGTGATTGGCCAGCCCCAGAAGGTCGAACCAATGGGATCGCTCGCACCTTTTTTCACTCCGCGGAGAGCCTTGGAGGTCCGCCTGAGGGGGTCGCACAGATCGGTGCTCGTCCCTCTGCCCTGCCGAGCAGTCGGCACTCTGTTGTGTGGGCGGACCACCGCGTGCCTGGCCACGCCCCTCCCGAAGGACTTGTCGGCTGCCTTCAGTGTTTGTCCATTGTGAGTAAAGATGCTGTCAACACTGGCGCACGTGTTTTCGTGTGAGCATACGTTCTTCATTTCTCTAGGTAAACCCCTAGAAATGGGATTTCTGGGTCCCACATTAAGTGCCTCTGTCCCTTTTATAAGAAACTGCCAAACCGCTTGCCAGAGTGGCATTGTTTTGTGTCCCCACTAACAATACCCAAACTTTCAAACTCTTGCACGCTATTTGAACGCTCTTGGGTTGGGGCTGGCGAGTGGCGTGCCCCAGTTCCTCGGGGTTTTGAAGAGACGCCTCTCGACAGGGAGGTCCTCCAGGTGCCCCACACCAGCTTCAAAGAGAACCGCTCCAGGTTTTTACGTGGAGTCCTGTGTAAGCATACATTTGGGGAGAAAAGAGGTTTATCTGTGAAGAGTTTGAAGACCACTGCAACAGGGCCATGCATCCAGAGCTGGGGTGCGGACCGCGGGTGTTCCCCGGGGAGGGGCTAGGGGGCGCTCCAGCGCTGTGCCCTCCGTGGGCACCACATGGTGAGAAAGCGGTTCCCTCTCGGCTGCTCCTCAGTCCCTCTCTGGACTGACGTGTCTCTAAGGCTCTGCATCCCGAGTTCGTGTCCTCTTTTACAGACGGGGAGGCGGGGGAGGGAGGGGACAGCTGCAGTCTCCCAGCCCTCAGCAAGCACTAACGTCTGCCTAGAATGAAACACACACACACACACACACACACCCACCTCTGTTTCTAATGTATTATTTCTGTGGTTATCTGCTCATGTATGGCAAGTACCTCTAGTTTTGCGTTTTTCTTCTGAAATGAATTCATTTTTATGGTTTAAAAGTTGGGTCAATCTGAAGGAAACTATTAAATGGTATATGCCTTATACACAAAGACGGTAAGGATTACGAGAACATGCTAGCATGTCTGAAGTTTGGGGGAGTCTGAACTCTAGGGGATCTGCTCATTTAAAAAGACCACCAAGTGTGATCCTTTTGAGAAGTGAAGAGAGATCTTCCGTAAAGCACGTAACTGTCTCTTAATTTACCTACAATATTTTATGGGTTTATATGTTTATATAATAGCAATTTCTGAAAAGAGGACAGTCTCCTGTTGCTCTTTTTGTTTTTGCAATAACTTGTTTCTTTTTTTTTTTTAAGATTTTATTTATTTATTTTTAGGGAGGGAAGGCAGGGGGTGAGAGAGAGAGAGAGAGAGAGAGAGAGAGAGAGAGAGAGAGAGAAACATCAATGTGCGGTTGCTGGGGGCCGTGGCCTGCAACCCAGGCATGTGCCCTGACTGGGAATCGAACCTGCGACGCTTTGGTTCCCAGCCCGCGCTCAATCCACTGAGCTACGCCAGCCAGGGCGCAATACTTGTTTCTTAAGCGCCTTCTCTATTCACTGGTCTGACAAATGCTCCTTCGGCAAGCAGTGGGGACACGGTGGTGAGCTAATCAGACGAGGTCCCCTGCCCTCAAGCAGCTTCCTCTCCTCAAGCCTCCTTCCCCTCTTCGAGGCTGTTCGTGGGAAACACAGACTCCGGGAAGACTTCAGTGTTGTGAAAGGCAAAGAAGAGGTGAACGACATTTTTATTTCTCAGTTTCAGCTCACATTTGGTGTGATTTTATATTAGTTTCAGGTGTGCAGCCTAGCGCTTAGACAATGGTATATAATTCACGGTGTGATCCCCCTGATGATTCTAGGATCCGCTAGGAAGTTATTTTAATGCCGTCAAACTGAGGAATAGTTTCGTATTTCTCCCGTCTTTAGAACCACCTAGATGTGCAGTTTGTCTTCTCTTGGAAGCATTTTTGCATTTGGGGGCATGTACTACGTACCTGCAGGCACAGTGAGAAACTACATGGCTTTCTGAGGTCCCTTCCAACCCTCAGTGCCTCACGTGGGGTGTCACAGACGCAGCACGGGACTGTTGTTGACCTGCCCCCGCGCAGTGCGCCGGGACCGCTCTGAAGCCGGTCACCTTTTACACCAGACGTTGCACCCCTGAGTTCTGTGCAGCCACTGGGTGTTTCCAGTTTGGCCCACATGATGTTTAAAACAAGTCAAAAAATCAGTCTCCACCATTTAAAACCCAGAAATTTTCACTTTGAACAAACAAACAAACTTCGTGTCTGTTTCGGAAAAAAAAAAAAAAAACATTCGTGAATCCCGCACCGCGGAATGAGCTTCGGTGGACGGCAGAGCGGCGGCGGCTGGAGAGTGGCCGCCCTTGCAGGCAGGGCGTGTACTCTCTGCGGGTGCTCCCTCCCTGCTTCACTCCTCAGGCTGCCTTCCTGGCCCTCGTGGGTACTTGAATTTGCACCCCCTGCTTTAGCCATGTGGATCCTGGGCCTCATGCGGTGGAAGAGCCTGGAGAAACTAGGCTTCCCCGCCCCCCCCCCCCCCCACCCGCCGGAGGGCTGAAAGGTGGTTGCCCTGGAAGCTCATGGATTGCCCATGGGTGGGTGTCCTTCTGGGCCCCAGAGGCAGTGGTCAGGGCGCTTTCCCTGGGTACTGCTGGTCAGGTGATCTCGGATCTCTCACGATGAGACGGTATTTCCCCTTGGAGTCTCTGTGTCTTCATTTCTTCCTATCCTCCCTTAGTCCCTTTGTAGGGCTTTTGATTGTAAGCCACAGAACCAGATTCCGGTGAATTTAAACAAAGTGGGACTTTAATGATAGAGAACATTTTGATAACTCAAGGTATCCAAAGAGAAGAAAATGATCTGGACTCAGAAAGTTGAGGAAACCAGGAATACTTGGAGGACCATGGGCGGCAGGAACTAAGGAAATTGATAAAATGCCTCCAGATTTTTTCCCATTCTTTGTCATTCTTCTTACGTGTCGGAAGTCCCAGAGAGGAGAAGCATGTTGGCCTGGTCCCTGTCCTTGATGAGGAGAGCGGTACACTTTGGCTGGCAGCCCCTCCTAGATGACGCACGATGAAAGATTTCCCCACGTGGAGGTCTGGGTGCTGTTCCAGGAAAGGGGGCCGGCTGTGGGTGGGAGGCAGCCCGAGGAAAAACTGCTCCCTGCCCCTCTTCCCAGGCTGGTCAGGAGGAGGAGACTCAGTGCGCCCTGTAAAATGCGAGAGAGGAGCCAGGAAGCAGTATTTCAAGTTACACGAGAACCAAATCGTGAGCGTGCCCTTTAACTGCAGCGAGGAAGCATGGGCCTCAGCTAAGGAACACGTTGAGTGACTGGAACAGACAAAGTGACAATTCCCGTCCTTGTAGCAATTGCTTGGGTTACAGCAGCTCCCAAGAAGCCATGCCAACCTCACATGAAACACAACATCTGTAAGTTCTAAAGGTTTCCACTCCAGTTACGCGCGATGAAAAGTTCTACAATAAAAACTTGAAAGGCCTGTGCTCACTCCAATTTTTACTAGCGATAGGGTACTTTCCATTGTCTTTTCAACTGTTTTTATAGGGTTACATCAGTTTGCATGTTTCAAATACATGCATTCATTTTATATGTAATCCTTTTTGATTACGGTGCTCTTATTTCTTTCTTTGCAAGATCTTGATTTTCAAAAAGCAGGGAAAATAAGTGAACAACAACAGCAACTAAAGTTGCCAGCGTGGCTGGAAAGGGAAACTGATGTTGCAAATGCGAGAGTCAGTACAGAGAGCCTCAGCTGAGTGGCAGGATGTGGAGAGAGAGAAAGTCAGAAACGGCTCGTTTTTTAAAAGGCAAAGCAAACAACTCACAGTGAAGTGTCCGGTGAAAATCATTTCTAATAATAGCTCTTGGTAGGCGATTCCCAGGAAAAAAAATCACCCGTGCACTGAGCAAATCAGAGCAGGAACACACAGGATGCTGGTGTGTTACTGAAGGCAACGGGGCTTTGGCGTTTACCTTGTGCCATGTACATTGATTAAATGCAGAATATATGCCAGCCATTTCTGACCATCATTTACTGTATTGATTTGTTAGCAGGAGAACTGTAATAAAAAAGCCATTGATTTACTGTCCTTATTTGCTTATGGGCTTCTTTGGCATTATTAATTTTTCACTCTTCCTTTCTCTTTCTGGGGGATCATTTCTTCTAGACAAACGCGGTGCTTCGTGAAGTTCGAAGAGAGGGGGTCCCCACGGGAGTCCGGAATGAGACCTTGACCGCCATCCTGGGCCCGCTCAGCACGCGCCAGAGCCTGCGGAGGGAGTGGCACGCCAGGTGAGTCCCCGAGCGGGCGCCGTCGTCCCCGAAAAACAGGGGGCTGTGCCCGCCTGGCGCAGCCCTTCCTCGAGGCCGGTCTCCTCTGTCTCGCTTGAGGGGCCTTGAAAAACGAGCCAGTTTATGTATGTTTTCAGCCGAAGTGAGCTTCTCCTGCTCAGGGGACCCGCATGACTTCTGATGATCCGTGGTGTCCTCTGGATGTGTGTGTGAACACTAGCACCTTGAGCTGGATTCAATATAAGTACCCGAGGCCAAAGAACCCTTTTCATCAACGACCTAAAAGACCAGCGTTGCAGTTTGAGGGGTGTTGGGGGGGGCAGGTGTCTGGGTTGCTTGGAAGTCGTCTGTCTGTCAACCCCTTTTCAGAGCTGACCAAGTCGGAACTACCTTGGCTCCTGCCTGATTGGTTCCTTTGCACGCACACTTCCCTGTGGCTGCAGACCTGTCGCTGGTGGAAAGTTCGTGCGAATCACCCGTTTTCACAGCATCGGTGCTTGCACACCGCATGCCACGGCATCCTGCCCCGATGTGGCAGACAGGTGACGGATGGACAGCCGGCACGGCGTCCCCCGCGGGTCAGAGTCAGCCTTCAGGGCTGCAGTTGGTGAAGATCGTTGAAATATTGCGCGTCTTTGAGCAGGAGGGAGAGGAATGGGGACGATGAGGCCGTATGTTGTCTCCGAGTCTTATTTGAGGCTTAAAAATTCTGTGTGCTTGGGAGTCAGGAGTGTTTATTGATAGCCGTAATATTCTCCAAATGAGTTCGTGCAACGGAATTTGCGATAATTGATGGCTTTACTAGTAACCATTATCATAAAAATAGATTTGTCTGAAGGAGGCTGAAGAAGACCATTTTCCAAGGGTAGGAGACAGTAAGGAGGATGGACTGTCCCTTGTGATTGGGTACCGGGAAGCTTTTTCTCCCAAATACGTGTATTATCTCTCAATTCAGGCTTGCCTTGAAACAATCGTTTTAAAATTCCCAGGGATGCTCTCCCCTCTCCCTGCTCTTCGGTTGTGTGGTCAGAGTCAGTAACAATCTTCAACCGCAGTCATTGCATTTCCCATTTAAGTTTCAATAATTACGTTTTAAATTTTCTTCGTGTGACCGCGTAAGGGTGTGTAGCGAGGAAAGCATGCAGGTGTCATTAGATGATGCAGTGTCGGTGTGGGGACGTGGAAGAGGAGGCTCCTCTCTCTGGGCTTGACCTTTCATAGCTTTGCCCCCTGGTGATTCTTATTACACGGGGAGGGGAGAGAGAGAGAAAAACTGCCCTGTACCCTTCCTCCCACCACCCCCACGCTCTGAAAATGGCGCAGCTCAGAGGCCAGACGTGGAGAAGGAACAGGAATCTCCTAATACACCAAATCATCAGACGACGTGGCCCGTTTGGAAGGAGTCTGGTCTCAGCCGCTCTGGCCCGTCCTGCTAACAGTTTCGTCGGGGGCTGCAGCCAGGGTCGAAGTCGATGGCGTCTAGCATCCGAAACAAAACTTCTCCAGCCCTTCGTGGGAGGGGAGGAGGGGAGGAGGGGCCGACCGAGCTGCTGACACACCGCAGACCTTCCTTAAAACTGACCCCTGGAAGCACATTTCAGGAGGGTGCTGTCAAGGGGAATGCCGCGCTCAGAAGGAAGAGTGTCCTCAGAGGGTTAACTCGCCCTCGTCCTGTGCCCCCCACTGGGTGTTTCCCGTCCCGGGGGCCTAGCTCAAAGGCTCACCCATATGATCTGATCCGGGTAAACAGACCATTCCCACTCGGCTTTCTTCTCCTCATCAGAGCCGCGTCGGGCCGCCAGGAGTCGGGCACGGCTGCTCGTGGCCGTCCTGCCCCCCCGTGGGGCACGTCCCAAAACACCCACTGCCTCGCTCCCCGCGCACGGCCCGTGTTCCAGAGCTCGGCCTGTTGTGTGCGTGTCGGAACTGCACGGGGAGAAATGTGCTTTGACAGAAAATAATTAGCGCTCGCCAAAGGCCAAGCGGCAGGCTGCAGTATTTTACTCTCATCAAAGCTACCAGGGGATCAGTTAGATTAGATAACAGAAATTTTTTTTTCCTCTGCAAGTTAAATACAGATGACTGTAATTACCTTGTATTGCCCATTAGAGAACGCGTTATGAATAGTCCGACTTCAAGAAATGTAGGTCGGCCGGGACTCTGCAGCTGGCAGGAGCTTCAGTCCAAGTCGGCTGTGACCGAGGCTTCCCGCCTCCCCTCTTCAGCAGGCTCATTGGTGATAACGGCATCGGGGAGAATTGGACTCGAAGCTTGTGACTTGGTTTTAAAATATTGATGGTGATCGCCAGTGGGAAAGGGGGGGGCGCAGAGGGAGGGTGGGGGTGATAGATGGTGCAGGAAGGAGACAGCTCGGGGTGGTAAACACACAGTACAACGTATACATGATGGGTTAGAGAATCATACACCCAAAACCTATATAACTTTCTCAGCCAGTGTTACCCCCGTACAGTCAATAAAAATGTTAAAAAATAGAAAAAAATGTGTGTCTCTGCCAGGCCAGGAGCCAAGCCATTGTTTGGGGACGACTCGCTGAAGTCTCGTAAACTGAAAGCACATGTTCCCTGTAATTTAGCTTCTGGAGGAAAGTGTCAATTCCGCGAGACTCGGGGTAACCGAGTTTGTCACAGTGTCACCCCCCCGCGATTTCAGAGGCCCGCCCGAGTGCCGTGGGTTTCCCCTCGCCGAGCTGGGTAATCCCATAAACAACCCTGTCCAAATAGGCTTATTAGGGCTGTCGGCGCGCTTGCCCGGAGCTGGATGATTCCAAAGGGCGTCGGGAGGAGCCCTGTGAACGCAGGGTAAGTGTTAACAGAAGTGGTCCAGAATTTCTGGAGACTCGGCTTTGTTTACCCAGCCCGCTCTGCCTGACGGACAGCGCGTGATAGCTTTTAAAGAGCGGGGCAAGCCCCCTGCTCTGACCCCTCCTCGACCCCCGCAGCCCAGAGGTCAGCCTGCAGCTAATAACGTCGGAGCTTCCCCGGGCCCTACCGTAGGGAGAGGCTGCAGGAGAGCAGCTGGAAGCGCTGGCTGTCTCCGGAAAGGCTGTCTGGGGTCCCTCTCTGATAATGAAAATGATTACCAAATTATATGGAAGTTTAACCGCAGTCGTGAGCGAGCGGAGGGTGGGGCCCGGCGTATTAGGTTTGATAAATGGACTGTGAAGAGGCCCATCTGGCTCTCGACACCTCTCCTCCACCCCCCCCCCCCATTCCCTACCAAGGGGAAACGTTTTAAAATAACAGCAGTACATATAGACTCAATGACCCGTGCGCGGAGCTGGAATGGATTAAGATTTAACGGCGACAGTGGGAGAAATTATCATCTGAAAAGTGCACCGAAGAAGAGGTATAGCGTGGTGGCGTCCGTGCCGGGCCGTTCTCCTACGCGAAACGGGGTGAAAGCCAGCGCCTTTGTCTCTCTCTCACACACATCCCTCCCTGCCACGTCCTTCCCCGACGGCTGACCATTCTGAGGGCGTGCGCGCCCTGGAGCGGTTATCCGTGGCCCCCTTAAGGAAAGCAGTGGGCTTCCTTTGCTTCGCGCGTCTCCGGATGGGAGACAAGTACTTCCTTTCGGCCCGCTCGCTCCGCTCAGAGAATGTAGGCGAGTCACGTGCCGGAGCAAAGGGCTTTACGGGATTTGCGACCCCGTCAACGTCTGCCCACGGACGGTTCTGTGTTTCCTGGCACTGAACATACGTGTGACTCCGGCACACTCTTCTACTCCTTCTGCCCCTTGGCCGATTTTCTGTGAGAGTAAGGACAAAGCACCCAGCAGCGACGGAGTAGACCTGTTTGCTTCTTTCCGGCTTGCTTTTTCCAAGAGGCGTCCTAGGGATGCTCCTTCGTGCCAGCAGTGGGCAGGTCTGAAGCTCAGTGTTTGCCGACCGTTAGTGGAAAAGAGGGCTCTGTTTAAGGCTCTCTCCCAGCTTCCGGTGACCGGCGTCCTGGTTTCTGCCCGGTGACGCTGGAGTTCCCAGAGCCCCGCCGTCGTCAGAGGCCGCTGGCACCTCCCGTGACTCTCCGTTCCCAAGCAATAGTGCTTTTACATAACGAGCATTTTTGTATGTTTGGTGTGCCCAGCTGGCACCAAATGCCGCTGGAGAGGATGTGCTCAGCGGTCAGTTTAAGAACGTGTCCAGGGTCGAGGATGGACTCGGGTGCTGGAGAGAGGCCGCGGGAGGCAGCGGAAAGGAGGGCGATGGAGCCCAGTGGCTCTGGCCCACGCAGGAGAGCGTGGAGCTGTAGGCGTCTCTAAAGACTGGAATTGCTGTCCCGTTGAAAGTCCTTGTCTTGAACTACATTGTCTACCTAATACAGGCCTTGCCCAGACAAGAATTATATTTAAAGTCGAAATAAAGAACTCCTAAACATTATCCCAAGTTGGCATGCACCTCTGGTTTTGATTGTATGTGTATCCACGGGGATTTAAAATGAGCAGAAAGCTAGGCGATGGAGAATGCGGAGAGACGAGGGACTCTTTCAGAACTAATTGTGCTTTTTAACTTTAAAGCAGTGCCCTTAAATTTATGCTAAGTAAGGTAGGAATTCAAAAAATAAGACAAAAACCAGGCCATTGCGGTTGTTTAAAATTGAGACATAATTCGCTCTGCTCACTGTGGCTCGGTTGGGTGTCAGCCCACAAAGCAAAAAGGTTGCCAGTTCGATTCCCGGTCAGGGCACATGCCTGGGTTTTGGGCCAGGTCCGCCAGTCAGAGAGTGTGCGAGGGGCAACGAACGGATGTTTCTCTTTCTCTCTTTCTTCCTTCCTTTCCCCTTTCTCTGAAAAAAAAAAAAACCCAAATAAATAAAATCTTTTTTAAAAAACAGATATAATTCACAAAATAAAATTTCATATAACATAAACTTAATCATTTTAAAATATGCAGATAAATGATTTGTTTAGGACATTTGCGACATGGTGCAACCATCGCCATCATCCAATCCCAGAGGGTTCCCGTTACCCGGACACGAAGCCCT